TTAACACAAGTAGTTGTGTTATTAATAATAACACAACTACTTGTGTTAATAATTATTATATTATATATTGATGATAATAATAATAATAATAATAATAATAATAATAATAATAATAATAATGTTGTATTGTATGTAGTAAGTATGTTATTATTATTAATAGTAGAAGTTGTAGTAGTAGTAATTGATGCTGTTGTTTTTGAGTCACTGTGTATCTGTGTTGTATCAAAACACGCATGAGACAGACCTGCGATTCAATTAACTGAGTATGAGGCCGAGTTGAAGCCAAAAACTTTATGGGCTTCCTGTTGTGTAATAGTGACATCTAGTGGCACTCTTTTGAACTAAACGTCTCCCCTTGGTTGTAATATGCTCTGTGAAAATATTTTAAAAAAGAAACAAGGTAAAGGTATATAAGTATTATCAGCTAAATGTAGGCCTACTTAAAGTATACAAAGTAAAAACACACATTGTTCAGAAAAATGGTCAGTGTTTTACTATTATATATGATGTTTTTGGATTAATATTACTTCTGCATTAATGTGGTTGTGATTAATGAGGTTGTGCTAATTTTAACTCCTTTATACACTGTGGAGTTGTTTACTCTACAGCAATGCATCATATTCTATACGATTATGTTTGTAGTGTCACTGTCCTGTGAGGACCACATATCTCTAAAAAAGATTATTATTCAGCTTTCTGACAATGCATTTTCCAGCTAATCCAATACGTTTTAAAATTATTTATTTATCTTAAGAAGTCAGAGAATTTTCTCAACCAATAAAGGAACACTTGATCCCTTAGCTTATCAGAAAAATTCTAATTCAAATTCACCTAATTTAAACATAGATGGTTTTTAATTGGACAGAAGGGGTATGAGAAATTGGAATCTGCAAAAGTAACTAGTAACTAAAACTGTCAGATTAATGTAGTGGAGTACAAAGTATAATACTTGCCTCTTAGATGCAGTAACATGAAATGGACATACATAAGGTACAAGTACCTCAAAATACAGTATTTAAGTAAATGTACTTTTACAAAAAAAAGTTTTACAGAACTAGAATGTAAATTTCCCCAATTAAAAGTAAAAAAAATAACACATTTAAAAGTAAAATGGAAGTATTATTTCAGTATGTATCAAAGGTAAAAATAGTCATTATGCAGCAAAATGAGCCCTGTCAGTCCTGTCAGTATATTAATTGCAATGTTTTTCATAGAGTTGGACTTTAATCTGTGATAATGAATTATATTTTATAAAATGATGATGATGTGTATATATAGACTACTACATATAAACACTTCTTCAAACATTAAAAAAAGGAAAGAAAAACACAGATTAAATGTGAAGAATTAAATAAAGCAAACTATACTGAATTAATTTAGTTTATTCTTATGTATTATTACAAACAAAATGATAATAGGGCATTAGTAGTCCCTTGTGCACTCACTGGTGAGGCAGTATTTTATGTATGAATTCAGTCTTCTGTGGAATAAAATCTTCAAAAGTCTAAATTTGGCTTTAATCACAGTGAACTGTTTCATACCTTCCTCTGATTCTGAGTATAGCTTCACTGTCAGCAACTCTGCAGGAAACAAGAGGAAGATAGAGAGTATCTGGGGAACGGAGACAAATAGAACATGTATTTATTTTAGAACAACCTTTTATTAGCTGCAAGATGAGACTGCAGATTATTAATGAGATACAGTATTCATGACACCCCTTATAACACCTCTTCAAAAACATAAGAGTCTGATGTCAGTAAGGCTAAAATCTGTGTATTAAGCTTGACACAGAAACCGTTCACGTTGCTGCTTCACACCCCCACACACACGCGATTCTGACCCAAATAAAAGCATATGCTTGGAGTCACACAGTGAAGCCTAGTTCTTTCTATATCCAGCTCCCTCTTTATTCTACACTCCAGCTTTCGTCGCTACTCCTCCTACGCTTTGCTTCAGAAAATTCACTCATATGCTATTCCATACATCTACCTCTGTTCATCCTCCTGCCTGTCCCTGAGCATCATCAGCATCATCAACCCACTTCTCTCCTCCCCCCTCACCCTGCCACAGGATACACACAACTATCACAGTTTATCCCATAGCTTGATATCTCCTCTAAGCAGCCATAGTAGCAGTTAACAGAAGTTTTGGCTGTCCAGGACGTTAGGAATGGCTCCTAAAAGAGAACCCTCCATTAAGAAGTCTCCTTCACCAGTGACCCAACCCAGACTTGGTCCGCCTTACCCCTGCCTCCCTGCAGCTCCTGCCGCTCCAAAACCTGCTCCAGAGCAAAAACCTAGGATGCTGCGTCCATCGGATTCACCATTTGACCCAAGTACTTTGGAGGTGAGTGGAGTAACTATGTTTTTTATGACAAAGCTAATGTGGGGCATTCACAAATTAGGACTATATTTAGAAATCTCATGTCCTATTAGTCAATCTTATTTCATTTATAGTGTTTAGAAATCTCAACTGGAGACGCACAATAGTGATTTCTTGTCAGATGTCAATTAGTTCTGTTAAAATATCACATGCTTAGTGTTTGCAAAGCAGCTTTCCATGATTTGTATGCTATTGTAGGCTATCAGCATCAATGAGACAGAATCTAAGCTAAGTAAAGAAATGGGGCACTGAAAGTGAGGCTGTCAGTCAGTCACTGGCCTCCTTAGGGAGAAAAGAGCTGTTTCCTGCCACAGTATGTGCTATTTCTTTCATCAGAAAGGTCAAAAAATGTAATAGCCCTCTCAATATGACATACACGCTGATTATATGATTATTATATTAGAAGAAGCAAAAGAAGCAAATAACAAAACTAAAATTCAGAACTCAAAGTGAGGAGACAGTTATGTTTCACTCCATTAAAAATGTAGAGAGCTTTTGCTTGACCCATTTTTTAAAGCTAAAATATGGCTGCATAGAGAAGAGACTTCCCTATATAGTCCTGTGGCTTTTAGTACATTACAGTGGCCTATAACTTGGTAGTGGCAAATGTTGGCTGCGCGCTTACTACAAAATATAACATGTAAGGCAATAAGGCATTAAGCAAAGAGCTTGGGGTTATTCCGAAAGTGTGTCATTATTTCATAGTTTGTCCAGCAGCAAATTCTGTACTCCATTATTAACAATACTCTGCATCAACTATTTATGGAGAGTAGCATATCACAGCGGAATAAATGGTGGTGGAGCGCCTGTTCAGAATTAGATTTTCATTTAAACTATAAAATACCCTGTCTCACAGCTACTAGATTTATGGTATACATTATTACAGTTATCTAGAATTTGAATCCCATTTCTTCATCCCTTTTAATGATTGAAATATAAATTAGTTAATACTTTTAATTAGTAGGCTTAATATATAGATTATACTGATGCCCACATTAGACTTTGTACTAATGTGCTTTAGCTTTGTTGGTGCTTTAGCTTTGCTGCCATCCTCATGCGCTTTAAGTGTTACAGTGTGTGACCTGCATGATTTTATAGAGTGAGACTGTCCCATTTAGCCTGTTTGGATATGTGGGCCATGTTAAGACACCCTCTTCTGCTCACAGCGGGACCACAGACATGACAGGAGGCCAGAGCTCCAGCTGAGTAGAAAGACAGCACTTTAGCCAGGCTGTTAAGAGAGGGTCTCACAAGTAATCCATCATTACTGCATAGCCAGACACTCACATCCTTAATGCAAAGCCTAGCAGAGTCATTCACTGCAATCATGCATTAATTTACCCAAGAGAGGTCAAGGTCAAACACACACCAAAATGGGACAAACATCCTTTTAAACGTCTTTAAACTTATGTCTTAATCAGAACACACATCCCTTAACATACAATGGGATCCATTAGAGACTGGCTAAATGTAACTTTTATGAAAGATCTCCTCCAGCCATGCTTAAATTTAACTTTTAATGACCTCCTTTCAAACATAATGTTCAACTTTGGCACTTACACTAGTTGTGATGTTATACAATCATGCTTGCAGGTACATGCCTTAAATTCTATATTAAAATGAACAAAGCAAGACGCACACCTGAGTGGAGGGGAGCGTTAAGTATTTAAACCCCTTCCTCATTCAGGTAGGATTATGTGATTTTTAGGCCTTATCTTTGGTCTCATAACGATTACATTATTTTCTTAAATTCAGCTTATATCCCCAAACTCATTATACTCATTATTCATAAAAAGAATAGTTAGTACGCAGTTTTAAGGCATACAATTCATGTACTGCAAATCACAAGCCATACGTTGATCTATATACCTATATATGGAGTGCGGCTGTTCGGCCTACCCGTCTGCTAGGACGTCGTGCGTGCTTACGTCATGACGCACGGCTGCTAGGGTTACCCGGCCCTCTCTGCAGCCCGTCACACATTCTTTGGTTTGCCGACGCCTCGGACACACCTCAGCCAACACAGCTATGGTGGGTTTTTTTTTGTTTTGTTTCACTCGACTTAACTAGGATTACCGTGGTTTTGTGGGGTTTTTTTTCCGGTAATTAGCTTGTTTCGAGAGAATGGTTTAGCTTTGCAAATATGTTAAATTGAGTTTTGAATATCAGAATTGCCTCGCGGATCGCTAGCGGAAGTGCAACTTTTCACAGGCTAACGTTAGCTTGCACGGTAGATAAAGTTAACAATCACACGGTAGCCTCATTAATGTCACCAAAGTAGTTGTGAGTCCCCCGATCATTGCTGAATGTTCTGTAGTAAGGGAATATGTGGTTCGAGTCAATCTAACTAACTAAATAATATGTCCAACAGTCTTTGAAGTTAACCCAAGCTAGCTTTGCACTGTGCTGCAGAGGAAACCATTTTCATGTAGCCTATTAATTTCTCTTTGAACAGTCTGACTTCTCGGAAGATCAAATCCTTGGTGAGTTTTTGATTTTGTGTTGTGACATTTTCCAGATCTCGCTCGTTGTGCATGCTTTCATTCTTGCTTTGGTTGAGATGACACTTTGCCCTGTATCTCCACTATCACCCTGCTCTGTGCCCCGCTTGTCATAGTAGTCTTGGTATTAGGCTACGTTTTCCTTCCTTATTTCCGTACTGTTTCATCACTTTCCACTTGAAACTGCTTGTCCTTTCCAGATTGAATTTAACCTGGATCAAATACATGGTAAGTCAGTGAAAGGGGACCGCCTTAGCACAAAAAAAAAAAACTGATGGCTATCTCGAAGTGTTTAGGGTGTGATCTGCATGTTGGTTTTGGATAAACCAAATATGTTTTAAATGTGAATGAGAGTCGCTTTGCACTGTTGTTTGGTACGTCCTATCTTGCATATAACGTTACAATACTAGCTTTGACCGTGTGTTGCAGTGTTTTGTTTGTGGTCATTCTAGTCAATCATGCATTAGCAGCTCTTATAAAGCCAAACATAGCCAAAGCTCATATCCGTTCTCATAAGTCTTGTTCTGTGGGACAGTAGTCATTCCCGGTTGTGTCAGTTTGCCATAAACTTTGCCTGTTATCTTCCAAGCGGCTCATCTCAGTGATCGTGCCCTTTTTTGGTGCTGGATACAGTAGTGGATGGTTTTTGTCCTAGGGTTGGTTTGTTTAATCATCGTTGACATAATAGGCTATAGCTGCTCTCACTCTCCTCCTACTTTCCTCCACTCCTCTATACCAAATATGGTGTTGGGAAAAGTGCTCGCATGCCAGAAGGGAAGAGGCACATTCCTCAGAACAGGAAAAACTCAACAACAGTGCCTGGGCTTTTTTGGGGAATAGCTGCGCCCATAACATTAGGAACAGACTGCTGCCCGGATATTGTGTAATCCAACTCCATGATTCCCTGATAGTAAGATCTTAGCTCTTTGCTTTTCTTTAGCTGTTGAGCCTAATTAGAGTGTCTGATAGATCACATCTGCATTAATCAACCTTGTGAACAATGGCAAGATTGCGTTGTTGCTGACTGTTGATAAAGCTTAGGTAATTCCCTTTAACAACAACCAGAAAAGTCAATGCGTGGTGATGTGAATGCTTCAGACGGCTCAGGTAGCTCACAGCCTTATTGACTTTTCAACCTTACAGTGAGATATTGATGTCAAAGTGGAGTTGGCAAACAGTACGGGTGTCAGATGAAGTGTTTTTAAAGTTTTGGAAAGAAAATGTTCCGTCCCACCTGAAAGACTATTCTGCCAGACACTGAATCTGGTTAATTAATTACTAAAACAGTATGAACTACTGACACATGAATCTTTTGTTTCATTATTAGAGATGATACTGTGTTGACATGAACCTCGACTGGAACCGACTAGTTGCATAATAGTATAACTAATAGACATTGTGTAGTCAGATGCATGGTTTTTTGTATGTTTGATGTTTTTGTTGGTGATTGACTGAATTTCTTAAAACATACTGTTGTATTTCTCGGTTTAACACCTCCTAATAATTGACATAGCTGAAACAGTTAGTTGATTTATTACATGTGTGAAATTGACAAACATTTTGTTTGTTACTGCTGTTAAATTTTAGATTTGTCTTGCTTTTTAAGCATTAAGGCAACTTTTCGAATACTTTGTCAAATATATACCCCATACTGTAATCCAAGAGAAGTGCTAAAAGTAATAAACTTATCTTGTCCGCTTATAATTAACTTTGGTTCTTCTGAGGAATATTTGAACCTTTTTATAATTAGTTTACTTCTGTTTGGGCATACAGCATTTAGGATGGTCGTTGCTGTGTCTTTTATATAACACACTGTAACTGTTTATTCTGGCACTTTATTTAAGCTATGAACTAATATTTACTACTACATTTTAACAAATTTCCCTGTAATACATATATCCTCGATGTCTTTGGAAACTTTTTTCATACCGAGCATGTGTTGTTTCATTGGAGACGTTGTTTCACCTTGTTTTTGTTGCTGTGTAGTGAACACATCAAAGACTGACCAGATGACATGAATATACAGTATTTGATGAATTGAGGAAGTTAGAGGTTTGTCAATCAGCAAGCTCTTTTTTTTTTTTTGTGGGTTGCGCCACACGCTACAATGCAAATGGAAATAGGAATGACACATGAATTAAAAGAATTTTAAATTTCAGCTTTAAAATGTTCCCTTTTTGTGTGTTTGAACAGAGCTTGTCCATGCAACACGAGTTTTGGGGTTGCCCATAGGCATACAGTTTATCGATACATCCATTTTTCTGGATTGACCGGCTATAGTTATGTTGCCTAGAGTGGCAAATCCTACACAGGTTTGTCAGTGTGGCGCTCTGTGCCCTGCAACTTTAAAATTAGGCCTACCAGCAGAGAACCCGGTACCAGCTTAGTCACTTTTCATGATCTGTGCTTTCTCTCGTCTGCGTCTTCTTATTTTCCTTACAATCTGCCTGGCTTTTCTGTTTTCATCCATTTTCAGTTCACTTCATATCTCCGTGTCATTCCTTCATAAATGTCTGCTTTCTTTTCATTTCTACAGTAATTCATATCTCTACTCTAATTTGTATCCTGCAGAGTTTAAGGAGGCATTCCTGCTGTTCGACAGGACAGGAGATGGGAAGATCAGTTTCAGCCAGTGTGGGGACGTCATGCGGGCCCTGGGACAGAACCCTGTCAATGCAGAGGTGCTCAAGGTCCTGGGCAACCCCAAGGCTGAGGGTGAGAGGAAAAAATAAGTTTATTAGGAGTAATATTTCTTAAATGTCCATAAATCATTATATTGTCACTGTGCTGAAAAAATAATTTCTCTCATAATTCTAGTCTTCCTGCCACAATGTTGTACTGAGTGCTGCAGCTAGAGGCTCAGAGACTTGTCTCATATGTTCAGTTTTTCTTTTCTTTTTTCAGAGATGAACACCAAGATGCTAGACTTTGAGCAGTTCCTGCCCATGTTCCAGGCCATTGCTAAGAATAAAGATCAGGGCTCCATGGAGGATTTTGTGGAGGGACTGCGTGTCTTTGACAAGGAGGGCAACGGCACAGTAATGGGAGCAGAGCTCCGTCACGTCCTCACCACGTTAGGCAAGTTCCATTTTTATCACCTCTGAATGGATGTCTGCATGGAAAGACTATTTTGGCCTGGTTTCTTTTATACATACATTACATACTGTAATATCCACCGTAGATTGTGTCAGTGCAAAATTAATCTGCTGAAAACTGAATGAACATGGCATTAAAAGTGAATGAGAAGTGAATATTTGGTTTGGCACCATGGGGTATGCAAATGTATTTAGTATTATTATCATTCTTCTTAGTTGTCATTTATTTCCTATATTATTAGTTTCGGTGTAAATGTTGTTCCTTTTTTTTAAAGTAAAATAAATAATAAAATAAATAATAAAATCATGGTAATGTCACCCATGTAAAGTAATAAATGTTCCTTTTTCAGGTGAGAAAATGTCAGAGGAGGAAGTGGAGACGCTCTTGGCGGGGCACGAAGATGCAAATGGCTGCATCAATTATGAAGGTGAGAGCAAAAAAATAAACAAGAACAACATGGGATACTTGCTATAATTAGGCTTATGCTGTGTTATGACTCCGTTTCCATAACTCGTGCAAACTATTCAATGTAACCGTCATAACCAGTCTTGGCAATGTGATAATGAAACCTCAGTCATGAATTACTCTTTATGTGTGCTGTGTTGATGTGAAATATTGTGTAGTTGCCTAGAGAAGTCATTTGAGGAAAAAATGTAGTTAGAAGCACCTTTTTAACTACTAAATTGACAGTGCTTGATGTAGTCTTATGTTGAGGTGGGTGTCTATTCGTTGTACTGTCTACTGTCTTGTCATGTGTTGTTTATACTTCTGTGTTTAATTGTCTGCTTTAAGAGGCCATGTGTAAATGTCAACTGCTGACAGTGTGTTAACTGTTCTTCCTCCACAGCATTTGTCCGCCACATCATGTCAGGCTGAGGGCCGGTACGGGCATTGGGTATACCATGAGATGGCACCTCCAGGCTTTCCTGTTAGTTGTTAATAATAATCCACTCCCATTAGGCCATCCTAACACTAATCAGCTGTAGTTGTTCTCCTCATATTGACAAACGGGAGCAATGTGCTGTTGGAAAGTAGATTTGACCCGTAGGTGCCTTTGGGAAAGCCTGGTGGTCTCTCTCATCTTTAGTCCTGAGGCTTTGGCCCATGTGTAGCCCCCTGCTGTTCTGTCTCTCTCTCCTGCAGCCCTCTGTCTTGGCCCCTGGCTGCAGCATGCCCCTCTGCATGTGTCTGGGACTCCCCTCAGTCTATTTAAGGGGATATTGTGGACACATAGGGAAGTGACTGGTCTCATTCAGGGAAAGCCTGGTGGCCACTGTCGTGTTATGTGAGCTGATGGGTGTGGAGCTCACTAGCCAGCTCTTTTAGTCTCATTTGCATGTCAATGGCGCTATTAAAATAGGCTTTTTTTCCTCCGTTTGTGTTAGAGGTGCTGCTCTTTTCATAGACAGATAAAATACAGTGTTCATTACATTGTAGACATGTGGTAAATCTGAGGATAGCCACCAGCTTTGGAAGAGTAGACCAGTCCCTTTTTTCTACTAACCAGAGAATTGCAATGAGTTGCTCTTGTGCTGATTGTTTTCTCCTCTGTACTGATGGAAGCTGAATTTTTAGCTGGCCGCTCTCTGACTGGACTGTAGCTCCCTCGATCTTCTGAACTTTTCTTTGCTTCTCAACTAGAGGAAAGCAAACAGCGAGGATGGCTTCTCTAACCAGCTCTTCTTGGATCATAGACAAGGCCAAATGCTTTGGCTGAATAGGAGATAGAGATGATTACCTCACCTATTTCTCTCAGTACCCTCTTCAACCCTTCTTTTTCCTCTGGGTGTGCAGAATATGGGGGATCTGCCTCCAAACGCAGCACTTCCCACCCGGTCTCACGAAAGCTGGATGAGGAGTGGGCTTTAGTGCCACATGCTGTAGTTGGAGGGGGTCCCTGTGAAGATCTAGACCATGAGTCCTTACATTTGTCTCTTTCTCCTCTTTTACAGAACTGGTCAGGATGGTCATGAACGGGTGAAGACGAAGAGCATCCTACTTTTTTACCCTGTCACATGTACCCTCTTTTTGCAGTTAAGCTTCTACAGTCCCCCCACCCACCCACCCACCCGACCGTTTCCATGGATTAGTTATCCA